GAATCTCAGGGAGCCTTGTGACTGCTTTGGCAATTTTCGCATTATTTAGGATATGGGCTGTAACGGAAACCAAATTAACAGTGGCTGAAATGAGGCAGAAGTTGGTGTCTCTCTCTTATAACAGTCTAGAGGCAGGTAGGACAGCTTGGCTTCACAGGCTGTCCAGGAACCCATGCTCTTTCTACTTGTGCTTCTCCATTCTTAAGATCCTACTCTCATGCGCATGGTCCAAGACGGCTGTCCAACATATTTGCATTCCAACCAGTGGAAAGCGGGAAAGGTGGAATATGATGGCATATCCCCCTCTCTTTAAGTGCATGACCTAGAAGTTACATACATCTCTTCCTCTTACACCTCTTTAGCAACAACCTATTGTATGGCCAAGTGTAGCTGCATGGAAGGCTGAGAAATATAATCTTCATTTTGGGTGGCCATTTGCCCAATGGAAAATCAGGCATTCTGTGCCTACTGAAGAACAGAAAAATGAATATTAAGAGACAAAGTTTAAAAGGGAGATCCCAGCAGTTGCCAGGACACTATGCCACGCATACCCTCTTCACTGCACCACTACCTAGAGAAAGTCAGACTGCGGAGAGTTCTTGGGTCCAATATAAGACTTTGTTTACCTTTTCCTGTGGGGATTCACCAAGAACCTCATGTCTGCACCACCTCTTCACTGCTTTGAGGAAAGGAAAGAAAACATGTGGTGCCCATTTGAGCCACCAGTGTTGATGTACTGGGTAGGCCTGAGGTGAATTGAACCCCAGAACTGATGCATGCTGTGCAACACAATGGACACTTATTAAACATTTGTAAGATTTTTATAATAACTGGAAGAGTTCGTTTCCAAATTGGTTTTGATTCTATGTTCATAATCTATAGCCTTAGTTATTAATGTTTCCACAAAAATGTGGTTTATTTTCTTACGTGACTTAATTTGTTATTGTCAATTAACAACAAAATTGTTAATTTGTTGTTATTTTAAGCCTAGTTATTAGTTAATAAAAATGTCAAGTGTTCAAATCTTTTAAAATCACCTATTTAGCAACCAGAAGAACTTAGAAATAGTGGGTGACCCTAAGAGGTGGGACTGGGAGAAAGAACAGGAGATTTCACTTTTCATTGAATATCATTCTTAACTGATTGACTTTATTTTTACTCTGTGTGTGTATTATTTTTATGGTTTATAAAGGAGACAGGGAGTAATTTGAATCTCAAAGTGTAAGCATCCCTGATGACAGGGTAAGTGATTCCTTCCTTGCAGCTCCAAAATCTGAAAAACGGGGCTTAGATTTCTTTGGGTTTATCTTGTTTGTGTTTCATTCAGCTCCTTGACCATGTGTTTATATCTTTCAACAAATATGAAAAGTTTTCAGCCATTATTTCTTTAAAAAATTTTTTCTGTACCACTCTATTTCTCCTGTTCTTCTCAGATTCTGATGACACAATTATTAGCTCTTCTGGAATTGTCCTACAGGTCCCTGAAATTCTGTTCATTTTTCCAATCTTTTTTCTCTCTGATGTTCAGATTGGATAATTTTTATTTTTCTGTCTTCACTGACTTGTTTCTCTGCCATCTCTATTCTGCTACACACCCATCAAAGGAGTTTTAAAATCTTTGGTTATTTTTATTTTTCAGTTCTAAGAGTTCTATTTTGTTCTTTATATGTTCTATTTATTTGTTTAAACTTTCCATCTTTCTGTTTGTTTCTAGATGTTTTACTGTACTTACTGAAGCATTTTTATAGTAGCTGCTTTAAAGACTTTGTCAGATAATTCCAACAGCTGTGTTGTCTCAGCATTGGCATCTGTTGATTGTCTTCCCATATAAGTTGAGATTTCCATGTTTCTTCATATGTCAAGTGATTTGGAATATACCCTGGACATTTTGAATATCATGTTATAATACTTGAGTCTTTTAAAAATCCTATGAAGAATGTTGATATTTCTGTTTTAGCAGGAAATTGACCAGATTGGGCTTAGGCTGTGAGTTACAACCAGCCTTCTGTGGCTTTAATGTTATTTTTATTTCCAGAGCCTTTCCAATGTCATTTGGATCTTTCCCGGGTATGCACCACTCAGTGGTCTATCTGGGACTTGGGCAGTAGTTTATCCTGTAATAAATTCTCAAAGTCCGTGTGAGCTGTTTAGTACTTAACTCACACATGCAAAACAGGGGGAGGAGCCCAGAAGTTCATAAACAATGCTATTAGGTAGCTTTCCTGAACTCTTCCCTGTGATTGCCTCAATAATGTTTGGTTCACTGGGGCTTCCCTTTTTGGTCTTCTAACCAGAAATCTGGGACGTTATTTACCCTGTTATGTCAGTCAATTCCCATGACTGCACCTGTATTCAGGACCAAGCAGTGAGTGAAGAGAGAGAAAGAAAAAGCAACAGGAGTTTGCCCTGTGCTCTTGGGGCCATCGCTCCTCTGACTGGAGAGGAAGGTTCCCATCTTTCAGAGTTTTAGGCTCCTGCAGGTACAGGCCATCATTGCTGTTGCTTTAGCTGCCACCCTCATCATAGGATTTCTTGGGGGCTGCAGTGAACGTGAACAGATAAAAGAAGGAAAAAGCTGGGAGATTGCCCTTACTCTGAGAATTAGGAGACTTTTACTTGCTCCTCAAATCAGAATTAGAGGGCTTCTCCTAGAGCTTCTCTGTCTGCCCTGGTGTATACTTCCAGTCTTCTGTTTGTTTTTTGTTTTTGGTTGCGCAGCGAGGCTTGTGGGATCTTAGTTCTCTGACCAGGGATCAGACCTGGGCCCTTGGCAGTGAGAGTGTAGAGTCCTAACCACTGGACCTTCAGGGAATTCCTATACTTGTAGTTTTCAAGCTGCACTGAGTCCAGGCTGGGAGGTACTGGAAGAAAGAAATGGTTAACTCACGGCTGGATGGGTAGTATTTCAAATTCTGGTCTGGTTCTTCAATCTACCTGCTGCTACTTATTCTTCAGAGTTCTTAAATAGCTACTCTCTGCATTTTGTACAGGTTTTATAGTTGCATTCGTTGGAAGAAATAAAGTGCAGTGTGCTTACTCTGTCGTACCTGAGCCAGACCCAGTCCTGTTTGATTCTAGAAAGAGCTTTTTCCAGAGACAGAGAGGGAGAGTGATAAAGCAAACGTTAACAGTTGGGGAATCTGAATGACTATAATGTGAAGTCTTCATACCAATTTTGCAACTTTTTTATAAGTTTGAAATTATTTTCAAAAAAAAAAGTTAAACTCTGGATAAATGTGGCTGGTATGGAAAGTCCTCATTAAAAAACGGTAATAAAAAATAACAACAACAACAGAACCATTTCTTTTTATTTAAAACAATCAGTCTGGGGGTAAATATTGAGACAACTCCTCAAAGCTGTTTCTTGCCTCCCTATCCCCCTTCCCAAGATGGCGTCTGGGAAGGTAAAGGCTTAAGATCCTCTTGGAACTAGAGACAGTGGATGCTGCCTTGGGTGTTCATGTGTAGTACCCATGGAGAGGTGGCAAGTCTGATGTTCCTCTGGGCATCTGTGGCTAAAGATGTTTCTGGTTGTCTCTTGACCCCGAATGCAGTTCATTTAAAAAACCCCCAATGATTATTTTGCTCATAAATTTCCAATTTGAGCAGGGCTTGATGGGGAAAGCTAGTCTGCGTACCATGCATTGTCATCTGGGGCAGCTTGAAGGCTGAGGCTGAAATCATCAAAAGGTTCACTCACTCATATGTCTGGTAGTTGATGTAGACTGTTGCTGGGATCTCAGCTTGGTCTATTGGCCAGGGTCTTAGCTTGAGCTACCGTAACAAAATACCATAGACCGGGTGGCTTAAAAAACAGACATTTATTTCTCATAGGTCTGGAGGCTGGGAGATCTAAGATCAAGGTGCTAGCCAATTCTGTTCTTGGTGAGGGCCCTCTTCCTGGCTTGCAGACAGCTGCCTTTCTGCTGTATCCTCACATGGTGGAGAGAGGAAGCTCTGGT